TTTAATAAAGTTAAAAAACTTTCTTAACAAAGTTTATAAAGTAGGTTTTTAAAAATATTTTTTACTTAGAAAGTATACTGCTAAAATTAATTATTAAAATTTTATTATAAAAATTAATTTTAAAAAAATTACGCAGGCAAATTTGCCTGTGTTACAATCTAAGGGATAATAATCATTTAAATATAATATATAATTTGTATTATTCAGCAGCTTAATATGATTTATCTGCCAAATAATTTTATTATTGAACAGAAACAAAAGTTTAAAATAGTTTAAAATAGTTTAAATTTTGTATCTGTCCAATAATTTTATTATTGGGCAGAAAATCATAATAAGCTGTCAGATAAACCAGTTATCATGCAGTACCTGTCTGATAACTATTTATTATTCAAATCAGAAGTAATTAGCAATTATGTTACTATAATATTTTTTTATTATTTTAAATTTAAAAACAAAATTTAAGAAGTTATTATTATACTATCTTTTTTTATTATTATTAATTAGCAGTTAATTACTTAACCAAACTGGTAATTTTTTTATTAATTAGTAATATTCTAAGTATATATATAATTTATAAGAGTATAGCTAATTATATATATAATTTTAGACATTGTCTATTTAAAGATTCTATTTTAAGATTACTCACTATCTGCTATATTTAACTTCTATTTATACCTAATTAATATTTATATATTTCTAACTATTTCACTTTAAAACTAATTAACTTTTATTAAAAACTATTTAGGTTTAATAGTATTTTTTTTTTGTACTGTTATTCTAGTTATAACAATGTCTGTTACCTAATAGTATGACACAGAAGACTCTTCTATTAATTTCTCTATTTAATTTATAAATCTTAACAAGGTTATATTTTTGAAAAGTTCATCTATACTTTAGTATTTACTTCATAGCATATATTTAATACTTTAGTATACCTTTGCTTTGTCTTTAAACTTTTAATCTAGATAACTTAAAAGAACTGTAATCTGTCTCTGATATCAAGTCTGGTCTAATATTTTTTTTTTATTTGATATAAAAGCCTGATTAGTAATATTCTTTATCTAAAGGTTCTTGTTTATCTAATTCCTTTATATTGGTATTTGTTTTTTTAGTTTAGTTTTTACAATAATATTGTTAAAGATTTGTATTGCCTTTTTATTTAGATCTTTTCAAATAAGCTTTAATTTTTTTTAGTTTTATGAATTTATATAATCATAAAAACTTATCTTAAATTTGCATTATTCAGTACCAGTTTATATTTCTCTATATAACTAAAACTATACAAATATCTATAACCTGTTAGTTATACTAGTATAAACATAGTTACAAGTATCTTATCTTGACTAATTGACAAAATGCTATTACTGTAATATTATCTAGCATTACATAAGTGATTATTCAAATTTTTACTGCCAGTAGGTTTTGAACATATAACCTATTACTTGAGAGGTTGAAAACTTATTCACTTCACTAAATCACTACATTCTATATTAACTTTTTAAACAGATAAGAATTAGATTGTATTTTTGATTATAAAGTTCTACAACTCTAATGAAACCTTTTATACAGTTTTTTTATTTCATTATAAGAGGTTTTTTTTAAAAAAAGTACTCTAAATTGTATAAATAATGTAAAATTAAATTGAATTTATTAGCCAATCAGGCCTATAAATCTTAGGTAGCATTCCACAAAAATTGTTCACCTTGGTAATTTTGACCAGTCAAAATTTAAGATCAGGCGTAGCGTGCTAGTCAAAACAATAAGTAAAAAACTTGCGTGTAAAATTAAATCTAAAAAAAAACCACATTATAAGTTAGGAATAATGTAATGACTATTAGTAGAAATTCACTAGAAACATTTTTAATTAAGGCGAATTCTTAATAAAAATTTAGAGCTATTCCTGTATTTTTGTAAATTAAAATTCGATTGGTCAAAATTACAGGTGGAAAAATTTTTTGTGTGGCGTTTGACTAACCCATCTGCTTAATAGTGTCGCGTGATTAACCAATGAAATTTGCAATCATCCGCGTGTACTTTTTAATTATAACTGATTTAAACAAAATGTTTTTATGTACGTACTCTAACTTTACATTTTTATTTTATTTTTATATTTTATATAACGATGACAGTTTATTCAGCTAAATTTAAAGAAGTGCTTAATGGAAATGAAAAAAGATTGTGTCAGCAGCAAAACCTATTTTAACAACTCTAAATCGGAGAAATGAAATAATTTCCATTTTTTAGAGTTTATAAAAAAAAAAGATAGCACCAAATTTCCATAAATAATAAAGAAAGAAATCTACATCAAGTGATTAGAAAATTATTTGCAAGATGGTGCTATTTACTGCTAACAAATATTTAATTTTTTTTAATAAGGTAAGATAAACTATTTTATTGCATAAGAATGAAAATGTATACCGTATCCTATCGTGAATAAGCACCACATCTTCTACCTCACTTTTTTAAATATCAGATTAGCAGGAATAATTTGACTAAAGACTTCATTGTGATTTCCGCTAATCTGACATTTAAAAAATGGGGTTGAGGGTATGGTGCTTATTCACGATAGGATACGGTATCTCATTCACCAAGGCTTTAATCAATTTATAAAAATATTTAATCCTTTTTATAGATTTACATTTTCTTAATTTGTGATAGTATAAACACTATTTGCTTTATTAGTAGAAACATATTTCTACTTGCGATAGTATACTTACTCACAGAGAATTTATCTTTTCGATTTTAAAGATATTTAATTTTTATTTTACGAATGTTTGCATCCTTTCAAATTTGCGTTGGTATAAACACTATTTGCTTTATCAGTAGAAATATCTAGTTTAATTTTATTGTTTTTAATATTTATACTTTTGATAGTTATATGACTTCTTTATCCTTCTAATTTGAGATGTACAAATACTTTATAGTGGAATTTGATATATAATTTCAATATTATATTATTTATATAAACGCAATTTTACTAATTTTTTTTGTTTAATTATCTAATACTTATAGAAAAAGTTTACTATACATCATCAAATAATCGTCAACAAGTTTATACCTAATTTATAAAGGCAGGCAAATTCAATAATATTTATGTTAAAATAAGGGTATTTTGATTTCGTTCATATATACCTTTTTTTTTTACAGATTATATTAAAAGCAATATTTCACAAAAAATAAAAAGGTTTGTTGTACTTAGAAACGGTGGACATATCTGAGAGTGACGAAGCAGGATATATATACATATATTGACTTTCAAAAATGAGAGCCACATTGTTACCGTGTCAGGGGTTCATCAAGAGTGGTTTAAAACAGAATGAATCACAGGTTCTGGATAGAAGGAAATGCTTGAATTATCATCAATTAGATAAAATATGTTGAAAAGGTTTATGAACCTGTTGAGAATTTTATTTTTATGAAGCATAACGGCATTTTCATGTTAAATAAAATTAAATATTTTTCGATGACTCGGCATTCACCCATCCCATCACATGAACCGATTCGGTTCCGTTTGGAATTAAGGTTTCCAGGTTTTCGTCTGGTGGCACTTATAACCCGGACGGGTCAATTTACGGCTATTTTCATCTTTCCTGGAAAAATAAGTGGTAAGCAAATCTAAATTTTTAATACATATTCAATTTAATAAAATAAATAAAAGCTGAATTGTTTTTTTTAGCTAACATTAAATAACAGTAAATGAGTATATTATAATCAAAATTTAAAGCTAGTGCAATTTGTTTTATGGTTTATAAACAACCATATTATTTGTATTTAATGTATTGTACTGACTCAATTTAGACTGATACATCAGTATCTGGATCTTAATGCTTCGCATAGATAGAAATACACTATTTAATATAATCTAATTCTTTCTTGAATAATGTTAAAATTATGATTCAAGTCTATCGATCAGCAATTTTTAAAATGTCGGAAAATATTCCAAAAGCTGTAACAGCAGCTCCAGCTCCGGCTCCTTGAATAATTAAAGGGTTAGGAAACCTCTGGGTTGTAAATGCGATAATATTATCACTTCCTTTAAGCGCCGCAAATGGATGCGATAGCGGTAAACTGCAGTCATAAGATAGAGGTTTAAAAGTTATGTTAAGAATAACGAAAATTAAAATAGGAGATAAAATAACACACCTAACCAACTTTACACCACTTTCATCACCAATAGGATCAATCACTCCAACATATCTTAAAGTCTGATTGTTATTCTTCGCAGTTTGTTTTAAATTATCGAAATGTGAGTCAAATTCTGGTAAACTTGACAAGAATTCAGAAGACGTGGCTAAGTTACGTAACGGCTCAGGTACAATATTTTCTACAGGTAATGTATCAAGGCACATGTTCATTCCAGTAATTCTACCAAGAATTACGACCTAATAATTTTAATTAAAATTTCAAATATTTAATTGTGAAGTAAATTTGATGATTGGCACGTCAACTTAAAGGCAAATATTACTTTTCGAGCAACATCTAACCCATTCAAATCGTCACGTGGATCTGGTTCCTAATAATAGTTAAGCAAAGTGAATAAATTAAAATTAAAATTTTAATCAAACAATTTGGAACTAAATATACCGTATAACCATTCTTTTTCGCAACTTTAACAATTTCGGAAAATTTTTGACCATCATCACCTGACTTCGAAAACTCATTAAAAATATAGCTTAAAGTTCCTGAGAATATACCCTCAATCCTATTAATTTTATCACCAGTTCTAATCAAATCCTTTAATGTATTGATAATAGGTAAACCTGCGCCAACAGTACTCTCGTTAAAAACGAGCTTATTATTATTTTTGGCCTCTTCCACGATTTCTTTATACAATGTTTCAGCACCACTAAATGCTTTCTTATTGGGAGTTACGACATGTAGGCCTTTTTTTAAGAATAAAGGATATTGAGAAGCTATTTCTTGACTTGACGTATTGTCTATGATTATTGCCGGCACTGGACTATTGGATACATAGTCAATAAATACCGAAAGATTTGCTGTAGTTCCTTGGGCTTGCAAGGCTTGTTTCCATGTAGAAAGATCAAGCGGTGAATAAGCTGATGTACTTAAAAGTTGCTTTGAAGAGTTCGTGAGTGCAATAACAGAAATTTTTGGAGCATGGCTAGCATAAGCTGCTAATTGTGAAATAAGTTCAGAACCAACTAAACCTACTCCTATTATTCCAATGTTAATCATATGTGCGTAGATAAAAAGAAGTCATCTATGACATTGATTATCATGCAGTTCAGTATTTAAGTTTCGTGATTGGTCAATCTTATACATTTTATACGACCCCAAAATTTGGGTCACTATTACCGTAGTAAATATAACATTAATTTTTTTTCTTCACACGTTTTCTTTTACTTGAATCTCTTTATCCGAAGTGATTACCTCTTTCATTCTCTACACACCTATGTTCAGTTGCTATACCTATTTAACTTTTCATTTTTAAAAGATTCCCAATTGGGGGTCCTTAAAGCCGGGTTGAAAAAAGGTACTATTTGATACAGTTAGGTTAGTTGGTATCAGAATACAATTTATGCAGTATGTAGATCAATATATGAAATCTGCCCCGCTTTAAGGGACCCCCCAATTGGGTTTCTTATTCGAACTAATGATTCGAGAAAACGGCAAAAACTTAGATTCATGACGACATACTATTGTAGAGTATTTATATACATTCACCCAACCCTGGAGTTTCATTACGCCTTACAGCAACTCAGGCCTATTTATTTCATGGAGCTTTAACGTTTTTTATAATAGCGACTTACTTTACTGGATTGCTAAAAGAACCAAACAAGAGAGCATCAATATAAAAAATATTATCGAAAATAAAATTAATGCCTAGTTAGTAATTGAGAATAAGAAACAATATCTAATAAATTAGGTTATTATATATATATTATAGTATTAAATAAAGAGAAAATTTATTAACCATCCGGGTGAATTATTTATCTTCCTTAGGTACATGCTATATTAGTATTTTAAGGTTAGAGTTGGGATGGGGTAAAATTGTGAGAGAAATATTGTGCTTATGTTATATGACAAGGGTTTTCTAATCAAAATTTTGTAAAACATAATGTAAATGAGAAATATTAGATTTTATCCCGGGTGAGAAATAAATGTAACCTTATATAAAAAATATATTTAGTAAATTTGAAGTTTTGTAAAGTATAGCTTCTTATTATTGACTTTTGCATTTTTTATTATTGTATTCAAAATATGAATTGATTTTTTTGTTAAGTTACCAAAGAGCTACAAAATTTGTTAAAAATCTTTATTGTACATTTTTAGAAAGTTTTTAGTAATGCAATAAGTTTGATATTGCCCAAATTATAAAATTAGTTCATTTCTTTTAGAATAAAGTAGATTTGTAATATTTTTTCTTCTTTATATGTTTATATATATATTTTTGTAAACCTTTTAACAATATTTTAAGTTTAGGCATCTGCTATTTGTTTTTATAATATTTAATAATGTATTCCTTTTTAGTTTTATTAATATTTTTTGTTTTTTTTTAAGATGCTCAAGTTTAAGGTTTTGTGCTATTTTATTTGAATTAAAATTTTAAATTTATAGATTTTTATCTATTTTTCTTTAAGTATGTTTTGTTTAAATTGTAAAGTTTAAGTTAGTTTTAAAAAATATTTTTTTTTGTTTTTGTTTAAGATTTCTTTTAATTTAATAATAAGTTTTTTTATTTATTAGTTTAGATTGCAGATAAACTAGTCTGAGCTCTCATTCTTGTATATAATTTTTATTTTGTGATATACAATCTTATTGTATTTTGGCACTTTTGTACTAAAGTATATGGCTAAAATTATTAATAAAAATATAAGCAAGGCTTTATCTTAATATTAAAAAAAGTTTTTTATTTAATTGTTTTTCTTTAAGTCTTACAGATTAAATAAAACCATATTAGCATATTTATAGTTGAACAAAAATTATTTATATCTTAGTATCTAATATTTTAATTATATTTTTTTTTAAAAAAAACAAAAAAAATATTTAATAAAATAGAAATATTAAAATACTAAAAACAAATCATACATTTTATAATTATAAGAAAAAAATTAAAAAATATTAGAATTTTACAAGTTATATTAGATTAATACTATTAGAATAAAATTAATAACAAATTAGTATTAAATATGTTTTTTTTAACTTTGATAACACTTTTATTTAGTTTATTAAATTCTAGATTTAATATAGTACAATTTTATAGTTATATTTACAGAATTAATTATTATTAGTACTATATTAGCTATTCCTAATTTTTTTTTTTTTGGTGTTAAAATAACCTCTTTGGTCTTTTGACTTTTATTAATTACTTATTGATAATGTGATTCAATGAACTACTACAGAAGAGAATACAATTAGCTATATATATAACTTTTCTATATTACCTTTATATTACTTATTTAAGGAATCTACCTGAAGGTTTCTCATCAATTGCTATACCTAATACCTCTGCTTGGGTGTTCTACTTTAAACCCTCTAAATCTGTAATCTGCATTAACTTACTGAGTTATATCCAGATGCTCAGATCATTATTTTAATCTTAAAACTAATTTATTCTTGATGTAAACTCTCAGAGCCTTCTGTACTTATTTTTTACAGCTGATTTAAGTATTACTATAACAGAACTAACATTTATGATCAGAGCTTAATCATTAAATTACTATGCTCTTGTAGAGTTTACTTAGACTCAGCATTTACTTTATAGCATAACCCTAGTACTTTAGTATACCTCTGTCTTTTCATTTGCCTTTTTACCAAACTTCTAATTCAGATAACCTATATAGAACTATGATCAGTTTATCAGTATATCAGGTTGGCTTAATATTCTTTTTTTTTAGTTCATTTTGGCAACCTGGTTGGTGATATCTCTAAGACCTTCAACCTAAAGGTTCTTGCTTGTCTGGCTACTATGACTAGGTACTAAATCTTGGTATTCATTTCATCAAGCTAGCCTTTACAGTAGAGTTATCAAAGATCCAGATATTTCTCTATTTAGATTTTCTCAAATAGATTTTTTGTTATCTAATTTTAACAGATTTATATGGTTACAAGAACTTAACTAGTGTTTGTACTGCTTGATTTGTTAGTTGGCATTTTTTGTATAACTTTAACATTGCACAGATGCCTCATGACCTGCCAGTTATACTAATATAACTGTTATTACAGATATTCTAACTCTATTATTAGTAATAGTTACTATAATATAAATATTACATAAGTAATTATTCAAATTTTTGCTGTTGATAGAATTTGAATACTCAACCTACCACTTAGAGAGTTGATAACCTAATCATTTTACTAGGTTATCACACTCTTATCCTAATTTTTATTCTACTAATTTTATCTAATTATTTATATAATACTTAAGTTTATATTTGTTATATGCTTGTATACAGTTATTTTAATAACTACTTGCAGTCAAAGTATACTATTAAACTATTATATAGATAAAAATATCTTTAAACTTAATATAATATCCTAATATTAGAAATACTTTTTTTTGTAATTATATTTATTTATTTATTTATTTTTTAAAGAGAGGTCTATTCTTTATCTCTTTATTAATTAGTCAAATTATATATATAAGATACATGTTAAAAAAAACTAAACTAGAAGAGATAGAGATAAGAGCTACTTTACTCTCAACCTATTCTTTGCTAGAATAGTCAGTAAACCTCTAGTCTTTGATAAGGTAATGAAGAGAAGATTGTCCATTAGTAATAAAGTATTGTATTTTTTTATTTATACTGATATTAAAGTTGGTTTAGTTTTAACTAATGTTGGAGGCTATAGAGATAATGGATTTGGAAAAACTAAATTATGTTGTACTGCTCTCGAGGTAAGCCAAAGCTCTTTATATATTGTAGTAATAATGTTGTAATATATGAGAAGAGCATATTTATTTTTTTGTTTGTTGTTTTCAAAAGGTACTAGTGTCTTAGTAGTTATTAGTTCCAATGGCATATGCTTATTAATATAGTTTAAAATAAAGGCTTGAGTAAATCTATGTATTTCATAACATGGTATCTTCAAGTCATTCAATGTTTTTTGCACTATATCTTTTATCAAGGTTGCAAGACTTATATGGTTTCAGAAGCAAGTTAAGAAGTATATTATATCTTCTGATGCATTATAGCACCTTGAACAAAGATAGTTTGGATGTTTGGTAGCATTTCTTTAATAAAGCAAGAGATGAATAGGTAGTTCTTCTAAGAGTAGTTTTATTTTAAAGTTTTTTAGTACTAAAAAGAAAGGATCAGTCACTAAGGTAAATGGTTTTTCTCTATATGATATGTATTGCAAAGTTAGTAAGCAATTGATCTTGTTTTGCAGAATATGCCAGTATAAGATTTACTGCTAGTTGAGCCAAGCTATTCTGTTTGTAATTTGATGAATTTGTTTCAGAGTAGTTTTCAGTAGATATGTATAGGAGTTGCCAAGAAGCTTTAGAATGAAGCAGTTATATAAAAATTTTTGCAGTATAAAATCTAATAGAAAGATATTGTTTTGTACTTATAGAATTTTGAGTTTTTTGTCCAATGTAATTGTTAGAGTTTAATTATATGTTATTGCTTTTAATATCAAAAGAAGGTAGGCATGTTGCTGTTTATCTAAGCTAGGATAGTTATGTGATTAGACTGATTGTATAAAAGTAATTATGTTTACAACATCAGCAAAAAATATAAGTGAAATATTGTGAAAGATTTTGCATACTAAAAATCTTTCGAAATAACTGCAATTGACATGAAATTCTTTCGAAATAAAAAAATTTTGCAATATTGTGAAATAATCGAAAAAATTTTGCAATATTGCGAAATAATTGAAAAAATTTCACAATATTGCAAAATTATTAGCAAATTTTTGAAATAATGCAAAATAATTAGAAAATTTTCACAATAATGCGAAACAATTAGAAAATTTTCGCAATAATGCAAAACAATCAAAAAAATTTCGCAATATTGTGAAATAATCAGAAAATTTTTAATATTACTATATAATTAAAAAATTTTTAAAACTGTTTATTAATTTATTTAATTTTTAACTATTATTTATTAAATATAATTTTTTATACAATTTTTATTAAATAATAATTACATAATAAAAAAAACTATATTATATATCCCAGTCTCTATTAAACCTTCCTGGCAAAGCACAAAACCTACTAACAACACAAA